AACCTGCCGCTGCCGCGATGAGTTTTTAAGAAACCTGCCGCTGCCGCAATGAGTTTTTAAGAAACCTGCCGCTGCCACGATGAGCTTTTAAAAACTCTGCCGCTGCCGTGATGAGTTTTTAAGAAACCTGCCGCTGCCGCGCCGCCATGGACATCTCTGGTTCAGTCTATAATTCTAGGAAAGATGAGTCATAACAAACATAATTCTATATTGAACTAATGAAAACAAAAACTACATATGTGTTAAGATAGATTGAAAAGATTTCGAAAATTGAGTCTGCTTAAGCCAAAATCTTGACTTTGCTACTGTTACATTGCAAGATGTGAATCTTTTTAGATACACAAAATAATGAGGAATAAATTCCATTGAACTCGAATACTAAACTAAATCGATGATAGAAAATAGATAATTAAAAGAAATGAAATCAAATATAAAACATCGATTTTTGTTTCGAGCTTTAATGGAAATCACGAAATAAATTTAAACTATGTAAAATTTTTAATATATCTATTCAATATATATTCTCTCAATTATGGAAAGCATAATTTAATTATCTTGTTATCTATACTTTGTTTAAGATGTTGTGTAGTAAGATGTTTTATTGTTTTATATAATGGTTCTAATTGATTATTACGTATTGCTTGTCTATGTCCAAGTAATTGTACTACAAAAGTTAAATTTTCATATTGATATTTTAATAATTTATTTTCATTTTCCGTATAATAAAATATTTCTTTCAATATTTGATAATTATATTCCGAATGTTTTAAATTTTTATTTAAAATTTTTATATTATCTTTTGATTTTTCTATTTGATGATAATATTGTTCTAATAATAAATTTTCTTGTATAAGACTATGATCATATTGTTTTGAATCTAATATTAATTTTTTAATAATTGTTTTATATTGATTAATTTTATCTTCATTTTGTTTTAAATTTAATTCAATTTGATTAGAATTTATTTCATTTTGTTTAACTTGTTTTTGATAATATGAAATTTCTTTTACTAATGGTTTTTCATCACCAATAATTTTATGTATTTTTTGTTTAAGTAATTTAACTTTAGTTTTACTTTCATTAACTTTTGTTTGTTGATCATTCAATTCTTCATGTATTGTTAATAAACTATTTTCAAGATCTTGTAATTCTTTTGTATGTAAATCAATTTTAACTTCATTATTATTTATTAGATGATTTTGTTGTTTTACTTGATTATTTAATTTATTTATTTCAATTTTTGTTATTTGTAAACGTTGTTCATTTGCTTGAACTATAGTTAAAGACAAAATTATCTATTTAAATGATTTAGACAAGTATCTAGTTATGAAAATATTTTGCAAAACAATCTATGAATTGACATTTTAAAATAGAAGATATTAGAAAACTAGTCCTATTAAAAGATTTTATTTGTTCGAAGTTTGAACTCGAAATTTAATCATTGCTTGCAACAATGATCGATGGAAGATCAAGATATTTTGTTGAAAGATTTACTAAAATAGTCATCCATCAAACGGAAATATTTACGAACACAAATCGTTTTACATCAAAGATGTCCGCAGCGACAACTTCTTTTACGAAGATGTTTCAGAAACTCATGAATTTTCACAGAATTTCGGTTATCATATATGTGATACTGTAAGATTTAACGAATTTTATTGATTAGCAGCAGTTCTAGTTAAAACTAGTCACACTCTTGAAAATTAAAACATTTTTATGAATATCATCGCAACAGTGACAAATTCTCAGCCACGATAGACATCTCTGTTTTAGATGTTCACTATTTTTGATAGATAGAATTCAGTTTAAATGTCTATCTTACAAAAAAAAGAACAACAGAATGAAGACTTTCTTTTAGAAAGTTACTGAATTGTAAGTCATCAATCATACTTATTCGGAATCGAATCAGAAAAATCCACGTAAGTCTTAGTGGCGTATCCAGGATTTTTCGGTATGCTGGATCTTATCTTCAGAGCATGGGACCCAGATGAAACTTATAGAGATATGATATTGGGTCCAAATGATGAGTTTTTATCAAAAGATTTTTGTAATTGGAGTTTGCGAAAAAAATTAGCATTTTCCTGAGCCCTACCAAGATTTTTCTTCTTCTATCGGTAATACCTTGATTTTTAGAATTTCATAGTAAGCTACATCGAAATTCATCGACAGATTTCAAATTTCATTTAAAAATATGCATCCGTTCACGAGTTATAATGTTTTGGAAATTTGCTGCATGCTGCTAAAATTTTAGAAAAAATTCAAAACATTGTAACTCGCAAACGGATGTATATTTTTAGACAAAATTTGAAATCTGTCGATGAATTTCGATGTAGCTTACTATTAAATTCTAAAAATCAAGGTACTACCAATAGAAAAAGAAAAATCTTGGTGAGGCTCAGGAAAATGCTAATTTTTTTCGCAAACTCCCATTACAAAAATCTTTTGATAAAAACTCATCATTTGCACCCAATATCATATCTCTATAAGTTTCATCTGGGTCCCATTCTCTGAAGTTGAAATCCAGCATACCGAAAAATCCTGGATACGCCACTAGTAAGTCTTCATATGTTAGTTTTCCAATACTTTTTCATCTGATATCAATTTGAAGTTTTTCATACTGAAATAATGATGTATGTCGTATCGTATAAATTAGCATAGCTGTTGAAATTAGAAAATAGAAAAATTTTGTTCGTCTATAAAAATCAACATAGAAAGATCTAAGAAGATTTCTTATGATCATATTCGAAATTAGCATGATTCATAACGTACAATATTCTATCTTTCTATGAGAAGCGATTGATCAATGAAAAAACTTTACATGTTCATCGACTCTATGAAAAAATATTCTCTATGTCTCTCGGTAATATTTATACTGAGCTATATTGAGCAAAAAAAATAGAAAGATGACTGTTTTAAATAATAAAAAATCTTTTGAAACTTAAATAAGTACAAATAAGAATAGAATTAACTTGTTTTTTGTAAATTATTTGTAATATTTTGTTGTTTATTATGATTTTTAAATAATTTTCTATATGAATATTGTAAATTTAAAATAGAATGATTTGAATGAAAAATATTTTTTTCTAATAATTTTTTTTTTAAATTTGATTGTTTAATTATATCAATTAATTGTTGTTGTTTATTTAATATTTGATTTTTTTCTATTTCAAAAATATTAATATTTTGATAAAGTTCTTGACGATATTTAATAATATGTATTTGTTGATTTTTTAATTGTTTTAAATTTTGATTTTGTTGATCAATTATTTTTTCTAAATTTGTAATTTGTTTTTCATAATTAATTCGTTTTAATATAATTAATGTTAAATTTTGTTTATATTTTTTTAAATTAATTTGATAAATAAATATTGTTTTATGATGTATTTCAATTTGTGTTTGTATATGAAAAATTAATTTTAATATATTATGAATTTCATTAATAAGATATTTATAATCATCAAATAAAATTTGAACATCTTTTATATTTAAAATTAAATTATTTATTCGTTTTGATGATTGTTCATAAATATAATTATTAATATATTGTTGATTATTTATTTTTAATTTTATTTCATTTATATTTTGTATTATTTGTAATATTGATGTACGAAAATTTTCAAGTAATAATTGAATTTCTTTCATTTTAATTAATAAATTACCATGTTCTTTTTCTAATAAATTTAAACATTTTGTTTGTTCATCTTTTTCTATTTGAATTAGATTAAGAAATTTTTCTAAATCTTCATTTAACAATTTATCAGTTATTGTAGTGCCTATTGCTATTTCTAAGATATGCCATAGACGTGAAGTATTTACTCGAAGAATCTTTATATGAACAAAAAAAAATTTCAATAGATAATATGTTCGATCTTACAAAAAGCGAACGATTAAGACAGAAGTCTCTAACAGGAAAAATCGCTTTTAAGACGAGATTAGGCGCATTATGTAGACTCAAATAAACTATAAACACTCTGAAATAGGTTCCTGCCATTAACTTATTGCTGTAAAAAAAACTACACTTTTACGGTAATTTTTAAATGAATATCATGATCGCTCTTAGCGGAACGAGTTTTCGAATTTCGACTTGACATTTTGCATAGAGATAGGATTTGATAAGCAGAAGTTTTCGATTTTGTCATTGTTTTTGCTTGTTTGAAAGGCTTATTCTTCTGAATAAATTCTTTTACTATAGATAGATATGTCAAAATGTTGATTCTTTCAGTAGACTAATATAGTTAGCTATATAAGTAAAACATCAGGATAGACTCTACCCAGGTCGAAGATTCCGGTCATCGGATCCCGCAGAAAAACATCGGAAGTCGCCGGAACAGGGTGGTAGTATTCCTGCCGGAACTCGCCCGTACTTTTCGACCTGGGCTATAATACGAAGCGTTTTGAGCTGTTCATATGATTAAAAAGAGTATTTTTTTTTTCTTTATACATATGCACTTTGTCACATTTTTAATGCTAGATTTGTTTTTTACTGATAACTCTTGTAAACAAAGATCTCATCTCTCATGAGAAAACTTCTGACAATTGAGAATCTTCATTCCATATTTCAAGCTGAAATGTTTATTGTAAAATGTCTACCTCTAGAGATATATTTTCTCTGAGTGTCTCTGCAAAACTGAGTGGTCGAAAAAAAAAGTTTCGAAGATGGATGATCACCTGAATGATATGCCATGCATTTATTTCTTTATTTTTAACATCAGCAAGTAATTTTTTTAAGTCTTGAAATTTAGTTTTAAATGTTGTTAATGTTACTTGATCAATTGCACGAAGTTCATTAGCATAATTAAGTTTCGTATAATTTATATCTAAATCTTTTTTTAAACGTTGAATTTCTTTAAGAAGAAATTCTTGTGAAAATTTCAATTGTTGATCTGAATATTTCGAAAAAGAAAAAAAAAAAAAACGACAATATTCCTATTTAGTTTTTTATTCTATAGATTATAAACAAACCAATTTGTTCAATTTCATTAACAAAATAACTTATATCAAAATTTTCAATTTGTTGAGAATTTATACGTAATTGATTTATTTGATTATGAAATTCTTCCATTTTGAATATATTTCTATAGATTCTAATACATTTAATGAGATCATATAATAGGCGCGAAATAAAATATTTTTTTTTTTTGTTTTTAGATTACAAAAAAAAAAAACAAATAAAGATCCTACAGTTTGATTAATATTCAATACCCATGAATTGTAAAGCATGAGTTAATGTCCAAAGAGGACCAATTAAAAGAAATTGTAGATCTTTAAAAAATGCTGGTTTTTTTCCTTCAATTTCATGTCCAATAAATTGTCCAATCCAAGCTAATATAAATATAATTAATGCTATACGAAATATTCGTACATGATTCTTCTCTAATAATATTAATAATATTATTATCATAAAAAATAAAATTGTCATTACTATAGCCATTGAAGATGAAAGATTCCAATAGAAAGCAAGTATAGGTATAACTATAAGTGTAGGATTCAATAAACCAATTTGACTAATTGATATTGTATTACGAATATTTTTTGGTATTATTGGTAAACACCAAAGCATAGCAATAACAGTTACTGTTATTGTTGGTACACATATTTTATGTATGAGAATATTAATTGGATGTTGATGAGATAAAGCATATTCATCAAGCCATGCTGTTAATTCTTTACTAGGCATTTCTAGAATAAATGAAAAGAAAAGTTAAAATCTATTCATTTATTTTCGAATCATAACATTTTAGATTTTATTTTATTTTATTTTTTTTTCCATCCTTTTCTTTAAATATAATAAAATAATAATGAAAGAATCAATTCAAGTTTATCTGACAAAAAAAAAAAAGCATATCAAAAAACTGTCCATAGATTATTCATGTCGATGTTTACCACGTTTTGCTTTTAGTCTATTCCTAGAAAATAAAATAAAAAATTTATTGTAATTTTTATTATAATAAAAGGATTAATATGTACAGAAACTTCATGTGATTCGTACTGAACAAAAAACCCGGTGGCAATAAAACGTTGAGAGTAATGATAATTCTATCATAAGAATTCATCGATTTAAAATGAAGAAAAAAAAAACATATGCGGGTACGATTTTTCGAATAAGATTCAAAAAAACTCATGTCTGCAATGGAATTAAACCATAAGATAGTAAATTGTCTATTGCCGGAAAAATTCAGAAGAGATTTTGAAACTAGACATGTGCGAGGAGGCACGAAAAAGAGAAGTTATTGAAACTAGTGACGTAACCAGGATTTTCCAGTATCCTGGATCTCCACCAGAGAGCATGGATTCCAAATGGAAACTTATGTACATTGATATTGAACTTAAATGATGAGTTTCTATCGGAAAAAAATTTGAATCAGAGTTTGCAAAAAAAGAATTAGCATTTTCCTGAGTCCTACCGGAAAATGTTTCACATCTTTAATGATATGTCGTTTTCAAGAATGCTATCGAAACCTACATCAAATTTCATTTAAAAAAATTCATTCGTTCAGAAGTTGTGCGTTTTTCAATTCCTGGTGAAATTTTTTCGAAACGTCTCGAATATTAAAAACGTCATAACTTCTGAACGGATCAACTTTTTTAAATGAAATTTGAAATCTATCGATGAAATTTGATGTAGCTTTCGATGGCATTCTTGAAAACGACATATCATTAAAGATGTGAAACATTTTCTGATAGGACTCAGGAAAATGCTAATTTTTTTTGCAAACTCTGATTCAAATTTTTTTCCGATAGAAATTAATCATTTGAATTCAATATCAATGTACATAAGTTTTCATTTGGGGTCCATGCTCTCTGATGGAGATTTAGGATACTGGAAAATCCTGGTTACGCCACTAATCGAAACCATGAGAGGACGTTCTTATATCCATTTCTTCGCTCAATCCTTCTATGAAAATACTTTTGTCAGTTTTGTGAAGGTGATGAGTTATAAAATAATTTTATCTTATATAGTATTAAACATAAAACATGTTCAAAGTAGTTTTCCTCTATCAGTTGTTCAAGAATCATCGATCTCTCGCTATTCTTTTTGTTGAATTATTAACCTTAAATTCAATCCTTTTTCATTCTAGCATGGAAATTAATTTATTCTAAGATGTAATATATTTATTTCATCATTATTTTATATGTTTTTTTTTGTAAATTTACTTTGGTTTAGAACCATCAAGATGTTGTTGTGGATCATATTTAAGTACTAAATCTTTTGCTTCAGGATGTCGTTCGATATAAAATTTTTTAGCTTCTTCATAAGCTAAATGCATTTCTTCTTGATGTAATTTAACAACATCCATATTAGCTCCACATTTTGTATTATTATTAAAATGATCATAACCGTGAATAGGTTCACGACAAACATAACACATTGATGCACCACAAGCACATGTCATTTTATTACAACCTAATTAATTTAATAGAGAATAAATATTTTTTTGTTTTGTTTTCTATATACCTTCAAGTTTATAAAATCGTTGTTTACATTTATAACAAACTCGAATCATAGCTTCTGAAACACGATTTTCAATAAATGTTCTCATATCTAATTCATCTTTTTTTTCAACTTCATCACATCGTAATGGAATATGATTTGGTTCACCACAAGCACGACATGTTTCTTTTAAACATTCTTGATTTAAACATCGAAATACACGTTCATCAGGATCTTCGATAACTATAATATACAAATATATTGGATTTCTAGTATAATAAGAATATGAGAAGTACGAATAAATTATAATAAACTTATGAGAAAACTTCTTAAGATGTCTTCTTTTGATTTCAATGACTTTTTGTCGATAGATAGTATAGATACACAATAAAATTTTTTAAAAAAAGGTCATAGAAAATATGGCTACTTCTTATTTTATTCAGAATTTTGCATTCTTTAAGAAGAGATCTTTAAAAAAAGAAAAACTAATTGTTCAGGCTTTGTCTTCGAACACTATTGTCTTTAATTTTCTTCATCTAGTCTATCTATTGAATTTCACATATCATGAAATAGAAAAATCTAAAATAAGCTTTGATCTTATATATATATATTCTTAATAGATAAGAATATTATCATACTTGTTCCAAATGTACAATATTTGCATTGTTCAAAATTAGGAATATTTGCTAAACGTAATTCTTCTTGTTGAATTTTAATAATTAATCGAGAAAAAAGTGTTGGTGCAAGTAATTGACTCATTAATGATGTTGAATATTCATATTTACATGTTGGATTTAAACATGTAAAAAAACATTCACCATTTGATATAAAACCATTTTCAATATAATTTCGTATACATGATCTATTTGAAGAATATATAAAATAAATTCGATATTGAAATTTAATCTCTAAATCGAATTCAAATTTACTTCATTAATCTACATTTACAAAAAAAAAACAAAAAGTCTTATATCTATAAGAATTAATAAAGTAAATTTGAATCTAACAAGAGAACTTCTTCAGATATTGAATTAATTTTCATTCGAGATGATGTTCATTTGATGAGTAATAGAAAAGTTTAGACATGCTTTGATTTTGCTTTTTTTTTTAGGTCTTTGTTCTCGAGATACACTTTTCAAATAGAAAACTCTTAATGAAATTATTCCATTGAGCAAGTTATAAATTTTCTAACATCTTCAAAATTTCTTCATGTTTAAAAATAAATTCTATTCATATAATCAAATAATTTCATTAAGACTTTTTAGTCGTGTAAAGTTTGACGTTGATTCTTCATGTAACTTGATGGAAGTCACAACTTTTTATTGAAGAATCTATCTCGTGAACGAAGATTTGAAATACTAAATCATTCTAAACTTTTCTCGTAAGTCGAACTTCTTGTTAGAGCAAATAGAAAAAAAGAAAATTGATTTTAACTTACTGACAAAATCGATGATTATTATCACAACTAATCATATCATCATCAAGTAATTGATCATCACAACAACAATCACATGTTTGTAATGTACCATTTTCTGTTGCCATACGAATTTGTTCATCACGAAATTCTTGTTTTCGTGTTAAATATTCTATAATTTTCAAAAAAAAAAAGACAATGAAAATAGTAAAATTTACAGCAAGATTAAAAATATAAAGAAAAAAAAAATGTCAATAATAAAAAACGAAACTTATGAATCTAATTGAAGATCTTTTATATAATGAATAGTATCATCTTTATTTTCTCGTGTATAGAACATATTTCTTGATATTGATCGTATTATAGAATGTTCTTGACAAAATTGTACAAAATTATTTAATACATATGTTGGTGGTTGACGTGTACGTGTCATTAAATCAACTCCAGCATCTGTAAATAATGTAGAACTAAACATTGTTGCTATCCATTGATAAGGTTGATCAATAGGTGTTTCATTATCAACAAAAATAATACCAAATTCACTTGTAAATAATTTTAATAAACCATTTCCACGCCATTGAAAACGACTTGATTTATATTTTGATTGTGTATCAATACCTTGAACATTTGTTGGTACAAAACCAACAAATGGTCGTCGAGTATAATATTCAACAAGATCATTTAAACGAATACGTCCATCAGATAATTGATCATGAATTGAATATGTTATTGTTGGATTTAATTTATCTTTCCACATATTAAGATTTGTTGCAAGAATATGCCAAAAACCCAATGCACGATTTGGATTAAAATCATTAATACTTGAAGCATCAATATCTTCAGATGACATAATGAATCACACGAGGACAGTTTATTTGATAAAAAAAAGACTACTGAAGCATTTACTCGTGAATGAAAACTGTTTGTAGAGAGTCGGGCAACGTGTATTTCACGCGTACTTTTTTTTTTCTTTCGTTCTGTTTTTAAAGTCAATAGTATTGTCGCAAGAAAAAAAACATGCATGCCTAATGTCGACTAAAGCATACTCCTTGTTTTGTTTCATTGCTTACCTATAATTTCATCCTCATGTTTAATATAACACAATTCCTAATCAACAACAATACAAAAAGAAATTATTTAAAAAGTGAAATAAATCATTTTACTTTATAGAAAATTTCATCGGGTACATCAGGAATTGCCATCGAAGCACGAGCTCGATGATTAAGTCGTTTAACAATAGCTAAATAAAATAAAATAAGAATAAAAAAAAAATTTTTTTTTGTAAAGATTTTTAAATTACTATCATTCGATTTTTTATTTTGATTAGTATGATATGTATAAAATTCTTCTTGTAATTGTTTCATAGATGGTGCAAAACGATAATTATTATTATTTAATACTTGTTTTATATAATCAGTTGATATACGTGCAAATGCATTAGATAAATAAATATATGTATGATTTTTATATGATTCTGATACATTTTTTGTTCGATCATAAAAATATTCAAGTGGATTAGGAAATGTTTTAAGAAATTCATTAATTTCAAATTTTGGATTACGTAAATTTTCTTTTAATCTTTCATTACGTAAACGTTCTAATTTATCTGTTAATTTAATATAACCATGTTCAATAAGACTTGTTATTAATATATTTAAATCTGTATTATCTGATGATTTTTCACGATATTTCATATAACATTCTAATGCATAATCAGGATCAATATCAGGTAATATAGCAAGTAAACGATTATATTCATCTGGAATAAATACTATATCATCAATAATCATTTGATCATATGATCGTTTATTTGTTGAACTTTTCATAACATTATATGAAAGTAATTCATTAACAATATCATCATACCAATTTGGATTATTAGTATTTTTAAAATTAATATAAAGATTTTCTATATGATCACGTGGTATTTCATTAAATACATCATAGAGTGTTTGAAGTGTATCATCAGTAATTGTTGTTTGTTTAGATATATGAGTATTGGCTGAAGCTGTTTGTTCTTCGATTTGATTTTGAGTTTTTCTTGGATCAATTACTTGACCAAATGATAATATTTCAGTAGCAAAAATTGAGCATATAGCTTCAATAGATCTTGATTGACGAATATGCCATCCAATAACTTCAAGAGGAATTTGTATTTCAGGAAATATATCATGTAAACGATCACGAATTAAAATGATGGATGGATGCTAGAAAATAACAAATAGTTTTTGAAAATATTATAATTAGATGTTTAGTAGTTAAAAATAAAGAAGCTTATGAATTATATTTGTTAGACATTTACATAAACGAATGTTTCTCATTAAGAAAAAAAACTTATTAGAACCCGTCGGATTATTTTCAGGTTATATCCATGTTTGAACATTTTGGATCCGTCAGACTCCAACTCTTATGCTAATCATTCGATATATGAGTATTTTGAAGTGTATTAAAACATGAATTTGACCAGTCATTGTTGATTTTAATCTTGATTAATGTTTAAGATTACAAGTTCAACATTTTTGAGCTCATATTACTATAAGATGATTAGTTTTATATTTGTAGATTGAAAGATGTATAGACTAAATTTGTTCTGAAACATCTCTACTGTAAATCTTAACTTTTTAGAAATTCAATCGATGATATTATTTTCTGATTAGATATTTAGAAAAAGATACTAAAATTGTAAAAGATGAAATTATCTTACAATATTTGCATCCGTCATTATAAAACAATTTAAAGAAGTAGAGGATTGTCAATTGATTTGAAAACCTATAACGAAAACATGATCTATTGTTTATATTTATATTCGCAAGTGTTCAACTAACTTGAAACTCAATATAGAATGGAATTACTTATCAGTTGAGCAATTTTATAGAATATTTCCAAATTGAAATGGTTACTACAATTGACAAATCAATGTTATACTAAAAAACTAGAAAAAAGATGGCAGACTGATACAGAAACAGAAAAATATTTTTAACGGTTAGTTTAACATTTGTCATCTATTATTATTAATTAATATTCATATGATTTAATAAAATTTTGTTTATACAGTTAGAGTTTTAGCTTCTGAATATTAATTAAATTTAAATAATAAAATTTTCTTGTTTTTTTTTTGATAATGAATATTTCAAAAATATTTTCATCATCATAATACAAAAAGAAAAAATATAATAATTTGTTCATTCATCGATAACTTATTCTGAGAACAAAAATTTCTTTCAATTTGATTTTTAAACTTCGAAAATTGTTAAAACGTTTTTTTTAAACATCAAACATCAAGTTGATTTAAAATCTATGAAATCTATTCAATGAATATGGAAGATTTTTGTTAAGATAAAATTTCGATATGCAAAACTGAAAAAAAAACATTTTAACATAAACAATTATTTTGTGAAGCACAATCTAAAAGGAGTGTTAAACAATAGATGTAGGCATTTAGATACCACATAGAGATGACAGACATTCTTAACAGTGTCTCTCCTTCACCATCGACCTGGTAGATACAACTATAGGAATGTCATAGACTTCAGCAGATGTTGTTGACATGCCAGCACAGAATGTATACTAATAACATCTTATTATAATATATGAAATATCTGCTTATCACATTTTTCAAGGATTCACTAAAAGAATGGTAAAGAAATATATCCAAAAATAGATAGAGTAAAACAATCTTCTTATGATCAACAACAGCACCTATGTCGTGTTTCATATTATAATCCTGTTGAGAGTACGATAACAACTTTTTTATTTTTAAAATTAATTTAATTTTTTATTAAGAAAATGTAAGAATACTATTTCTTTTTCATTAATCTGGAAATCATCTTTGCTTTTGAAGTAGACAAAGGTGTTAGTCAAAACTTTAAAATTTCTCAAAATTGAAAGATTTTGTTTGAATATTCTATACATGAAAAATATCTATTGAAATGACAAGCTCAGGTAATCTTTTATTAATCACTTTCGATTCAAACAATAACATAAGCTATACTCTCAGACCTGTGTAACAAAAATGCTAAAAGAATAAGAAAACTCATAATTGATTATAAAATTACACATGCAGAATAGAACACGATGTCGTTCAATTCTAGTCGTTTTTTCTTTTGAGTATGTCAGAAATTTTTGAAAAAATAAAAATGGACCGTCAGATGCCACTCAATATTTTCTCTTGTTATATATTGTGTGGACCCAAAGCTACAAGAAAAAATTTGCCCTACAGAGAATAAATATTATAGTTAAATATTTTATAGTTTTAAGTGAATCAGAATTTAATTCAATAGAGAGACAACCCAAAAAAACTCCTAATGTCCATTTCAGAGATACATGACCGTGGGTATTTTTCGAATAAATTTTGATAGGAATGAGATAGAGATCTACGATTTTTACCGTTGGAAAGAGCAGATGAAAATGCATCGAACCATATATAAAAAGATTTTTCTAACGACTTTTCTGAAGGTTTTATGTAAATTTTCAAGAAAAACAGCATGCCTCTCATGATTACGATATTAATTTATGGACTTTCAGGAGTGTGCTAGAATCGCCAAGTGAAGAGCTACAAAAAACTATGAACAGGCTCTATTCCTAACTACTACCAATACGATATTCTAGCCATTGCAGTGCAATTCATCATCCAGTTTTTCAACAAAATAGTCGAAAAATGGAGATTTTTTGTGATATTTCGATAGAAAAATCACTTTTTAACGTAGGAGAAAAACGCAATTCTTTGAAAACGTTTGACTAAAACGTTCAGGAAAGTCGTTAGAAAAATCTTTCTATATATGGTTCGATGCATTTTCATCTGCTCTTTCCAACAGTGAAAATCGTGGATCTCTATCTCGTTCCTATCAAAATTTATTCGAAAAATACCCACGGTCATGTATCTCTGAAATGGACATTAGTTGTCAAACTTCGACATTCCTTCCTCATCACATACAGGATATCCCTAAAGTCTACTGTAAAAGAAAATGTAGATATCTTTAAATTAGTTGAAGAAATTTATATTAGTATATTTGTTGAAATTTCATTCTGTATATTTTCTGATAAATGTCTATGAATAAAAATAATAGAATCTTAATAGTTTTATTAATTGTCAAATTTAAATCTCGTATAGAAGTTAAATGAGAAATGTCAAAACGAGTTCAGCACATAAACATTAGACGTAGACAGCATTAGAAATATTTTTTCAACGCTCCGATGAAACTCTTACAGTAGAAAATCAACAGCAGTCTAACTAAAACTAATATTTATTATTCATTTAAAAAAAAACACAAAAATTTTTTTTATTAATCGTTATTGTGACATATTACAATGGAAACTTTTTCGAGTACAAATACATATTTGTACTTATTTCGCTGTAAGAATTAATTAAACTGATATGAAGTTATGAGTTCGTATAACGATTTGTTTCTCATGCCGTTTCAATTATTTTATGTTTTATAGCCATATCTATTAGATCTGTACTTGTTTTTTTTTGTAAGCAGTGTCAGTGAAAGATATCTAATGTATTGAAACTATTTTCTTAAGATATATCGTAGATACATAAGTAAATATGTTTCTGTATGATACTGAGTTTGATCTTGCTTCATCAACGTAATTTATTCAGTAGTATTGTATGAAGAAAAACAAATAGAACTTTGTATTAGAAACAATTATTGTAATAATAGGAATGAGAAAATAATTCAATAGGTTATAAGATAATGGCAACAAAATATTATTGTAATATTTGATTAATAACAAAAATAATATTTTTTTTTCATATTGTTGTCAAGTTGTTTCATCGTAGTAGAGTCCATCGGATCTGGGCCCAAAATTTTCTCTCAACTGAATCCAGCGGACTCTGGTCAGCTAAGA